GAAGGAGATGTTGGTATCTTTGGAGCAAATGTCATTTACATTTTCTTGGAATGTCAGTAACATAATTGAAACACTTGTTGTAAAAACTAATAAAGAGAGAAGAGGCTTAGCGTAAGGAGTTGCATAACCAACCCAAAGGCACACAGTTCAAACCTACCAGCTATTCATTTTATTTTTCAGAATAATGATGAGTAGTTTCCCCCTGTTAATTCCTGCTTCTTGGTCATCCATGAGTAACTTTTAACTTGATGATAAGCAATAACAACAGCAATAATAAAAAAAGGACCGGATTGTTTAATTGTTTTCATTGGTAAATATTTTTGAGCCAGGGTAACCTTTTTATCAATTTTTATTTGATATAGTTAGCTAGGTACCATCAAGTATGTAAGACTCATAGTGACCTTAGGGATAGTAGATCTGTACCCTGTCCTATCTTGTGCCATCCTCATCCTCTCTGACATACTTGAGCCCACTGATGCAGTCACTGTGTCAGTCTATCTCATTTTTACTGTTTTCCTCATCCATTTACCACGTAGTCTTTTCTTACTGGTTTTCATTCAATAATTCATAAACATTTTGATTTATAGCATTAATTACTTCTGTAACATTTCATTGATCAGTCTTCTTTATCACAATGCTTGATCAAATCCTCACCATGTCCTCCCCCAGCTCTTCCATCTCCTGCTGCCCTAGTATTTTTCCTCTTCTTTCACCCCTCTCACTCCTTCTCCCATCTAATGTGATCAGTTAAGCATGTTGTGTTCCATGTTACTGTTGTAATACATATATTGTCTATTTGTCCATTCATTCTGATTCTCCTGTCCCCTAATCCCTTACAGTGTTTATTGTCCATATATTCTATTTCTACTCTACCTGTCCTCTCTCACCCGTAATTGCTGTTGTTGTTGGTAGGTGCCATCGAGTCGAGTACGACCCATAGTGACATTATGAACAATAGATTTGAACCCTGGCCTATCCTGTGCCATTCTCATACCTCCTAACACATTAGAACCCATTATAGCAGTCACCATGTCAGCCCACCTTGTCGAGGGTCTTCCTCTCCTTCACTGACTCTTTACCTTTCCAAGTATCATGGCCCTCTCCAAGGAGTAATTCCTCCTAGCAACATGCCCAAAATATGTGAGGCGAAGCCTCATTATCTTCACTTCCTTAGAGCACTTTTGCTGCACTTTCTCCAAGACATATTTGCTTGTTTGGCTGTCCACAGGATGTTCAATATTCTCCAACACCACAGCTCAAAGGCATTGATTCTTCTTCTGTCATCCATATTCTATGTTCAGCTCTCAGATGCATAGCAAGTAATCAGAAAGACCATGACTTGAATTAGATGCATCTCAAACTGACATTCTTCTATGAAGCAGTCCTTGGAACAGAGCAAGAAAATACTACATGGTTGAAATTCAGGAAAAGAGTGAGTGCATCAGAGAAGTGTACTTTCCCCATGTCTTTTCTAATCTATGTGCAGAACAGATCATTTGGAAGGCTGGACTTTATGAATAGGAATGTGGCATCTGAATTAGAGAAAGACTCATCAACAACTTGCATTATGTAGATGATACAACCTTCCTTGCCAAAACTGAGGAGCACCTGAAGTGTTTGCATCAGAAGGTCAAGTACTGCAGGCTTCAATATGGATTGAAGTTCAGTATCAAGAAAACAAACACACTCACCCCTGGCCAGTTGTCAGCATCATAATAGAGAAGAAATTGAGATTGTTAACAATATTAGCTTGTTCACTACCACAGTCAGCACTCTAGGTACCAGCAGTCAGGAAATCAAAAGGTGAATTGCATTAGTTAATCTACTCTCAGGGACCTCTCCCACGTGCTGAAGAGAAATGATGTCAGTCTCGAGAGAAAGGTATGCTTCATCCTGGCCATGGTCTTTGCAATACTTTCTAGGCATCAGACAGCTGGATGATGACTAAAGAATGACAGAAGAACCCATATATTTGAGTTTGGGTGCTGGAGAAGAGTATTGAACATACCATGGATTGCCAAGAGAGCAAACAGGTCTGTCCTGGAGAGGGTGAAACTAAACCGCTCTTTGGAGGCAAGGATTTTGAAGCTCTGTCTGCATACTTTGGACATGTTGTAGAAGGACATCATGATTGAAAGGGTAGAGGGACAGGTCAGGAGAGGAAGACTCTGGATGACATGAATTGACCAATGACTAGGGTAATAGGGCATGTGTGTCAGAGATAGTGATTGGCTGAGGATAGGGCACGGTTCAGAGCTGGTATTCATAGGGTCATTATGAGCCACAGTTGACAGCACTTAACAACCACATCAACTAGCTATCCTTCTATATTTACAATTATGGTCTTATGCAGTCCTTGTCCATATGAGACTGAGTTAGTTCACTCAGCTTAATGGTCTCTGGCTTCTCCCTGGTTATATAGTATTTTATAAATCATTACTCCTGAGTGCTGCATAGTATTACATTTTGTGAATGTACCACAATTTCTCAGTCCATTCCTTTGTTGATGGACATTTCAGCTGTCTCCATTTTTTTGCTATTGTGAATAATGCTGCTATAAAATCAATGTAGAAATCTCCAATTCTGTCTCAATTCCATTTTCCTTAGGGTATATTCCCACCTGTGGAATACCTAGGTCTTAAGTTATACCATTTACAGTTGTTGTTAAATGCCTTAGAGTCATAGATGACCCATAATGACTCTTAAATGGAGAAAGTCTTGAGCACAAAATTTTGATCTTTTCTCCAAGTTCATCGTTTCTGGAGGCAAGCTTTTTTTGGAAGTGAATGCCACTCCTGCTTCCAAGCCTGTTTTATTCAGGAGATCCACAAACATCAAGGTCCCAAGGGTCCAGAAGCCTTTTTAAATAGGGGGCCAACTCTGATCAATTCACACCCTTTTGTGAGCAGCAGCCACACCCTAGTCTCAACCTCAAACCAGAAAACACCCTATTAAAGAAAACCACAAAACACTACTGTGAGAAATGATGAGACCTAACAAAACGCACAGGTGCAATGGGAGTAAGTGTGTTTGAGTTAATGAGACTGGCTCAGGAGAGGGAATGGTTTAGAGCTGCTATCCATAGGGTCACTCTACATTGCAGGCAACTCAATGGCATATAACAACAGTAACATACTATGACAGGTTTGGAAGCAGGAGTGGCATCCACTTCCTAAATAGCTCTATGAACTTTGACACATTTTGATGGTTATAGAGAGGCTTCAGATCTTTTGTTCATGGGTTCAGTAAGTGTTGCTCGACTCGAAGGCAGTTGAATTTTTTTCAGTTTTTTAAGATTTTTTTTTCCTATATGCTTTTAATAGAACAGTTCCAAAGTTTAAGGCAGTGTTTGGCACCAACTTTGGATTTCAGTCTGGGCTTGCCTGGCACCTGGGGCCTGGGACCTTGGAGTCTCCCTCCACTGTAGGAGTTGGCTGGCTAGCCAGTATATCGATGATGATCCTGTCTTGATGGCAGGGAAGTTTTGGAGGTCCTGTTTGTTATGTGTTACTGTTCTTTTTCCACCCTCGAAAGTGAGTGTCCCTTGAGCTTTAGACTAAGGGTGGAGGCCTGCTCGAGGGTATGATTTTAAAATCGATAATGAGGCAATGGGTCTCTTGGGTCCTTGGGCAAATTTTTTAATTTTAGAATGAATATTCTGTAAAAGACACAGCAGTCATTTGTCTATTTGATGTACTGAACAACTTGGAGTTGCTGTGATGCTGAACACTGTTCCACAGCCGTGTCAGATACCATCATGGTTACCCATTATGTGCAATCTTTGGATGAGTTTCCAGATTGATTCATGTTGGGAAGCAGGAGTGGCATCCACTTCCTAAACTACATGCCTCGGAAAACTCTACAGACTCTTATAAATATACAGAAATGATGTTAATTATACAACAGAGTTCAGGTCTTTTGTGCAAAACTTACTCTGAGTGTTATTTGACTAGATAGCAGTTACCACTGCTTAAATGAGACTAGTGCTGTTATATCTGGAGGAACATTCTTCCACTTTTCACATCACTCTTTGTCAATGTGTTGTATGAAGTAACATGGGTTTACTGTGATGCTGAACCTTGTGCCATTGGGGCATAACATACCATAATGGTTTCCCATTGTAGACAGTGTTTGGTGGAGCTCCCAGTTATAAAACAGGTTTGGAAGCAGGAGTTACATCCACTTCCTAAACCACATGCCTCTGGAAACCCTATGAACTTGGAGAAACAGCGATAGCTATGGAAAGGCATTAGGTCTTTTGTTCATAGAGTCGCTATGAGTTGACCTCGGCCCGACGGCAATCAACACCACTATCACCACATAAATTTCTAGTTTCTCATTTGCAATACATTAAAAAAGAGAAACAGAATTTTGGAAATAGAAAAGGAGGCTCGTTCAGATAAGTGGCTGGAAAAGTTTTGGGAAAATAAAAGAAGGAAAGGAAAAACAAACTCAGATCTTAAGCTCATCCCTGTGATGCTTGAGAGCAGGGAGTCACAGAAGCTACGTGCAGGAGTTAGGTGGAAAAATGAGTGAGTAAATGTTCACATGAGAGAGCTAGTATATATTAGTATTTATTCTATAGCAAAATAAGACAAACTTGTGTGTCTTTGAAATTAAAGGAGAGAAACCCTGAAATTTTTCTGACTAGCAAACATAAAGGGACATTTATTGATGCTGTAAATTTAAAGTGTGTTAAATACTGTTTTTTTTTCTCTCAGTTTTATACTCATTTTATTTTATATAATTTATACATAGAAAGACTTTTTGATCTTGTTTCCACTCATGAGTTGTTTTTTACCATAAGGCCATAAATTGTAAATTTTTACTTTTTTTCCTAAAGGAATTTAGATGCGATTTTGAGGTTTAAAAAAAGAGTGTATTAACATTACTTTCTAAAACAGATATTTAAGCAGTGAAAATTATTTCAGGCAACTCTAATTAGATTTTGATGTAATTTTATTTGGAAGTGATGTTAGTTTTGATTTATCCATTTTTAGGTTTATTACCTGGAGGAAGGATAAAATTAGTACATAGCTCTGTGATTCAGCTGAATAGCAGGTAAGACGACCACTTAGATTATATGAAAGCAGTGCCCCTTATCTTACAAAGATGCATTTCTGCAAGTGGAAAATAGCAATATGTGTGTGTGTATTATAAAATTTATATAAAATACATATATATTTTATGTATATAAAATACAAATGCATGCACAATTTTACCAATGAAGATGTGTGTGTCTCATACTGTAATTTTTGCTGTTTGATTGTTTTTGTAGCTATTTTACTACTTTCTTATTAATGAGTCAACCTAGAAAATTAAGCATCTAAATGTGGAGCTAACAGTTTCTTTTCAGTTAAAATATTTTATATGTTATAAGTGGATAGTGAGTGGGTAATTTTTGTGTTTTTAGTATAATCTGGAAGTTAAATGAGATTATTTCCAGGAACCAGAAATATTATAAACATGAAAATTTTACTCAATATCTTACATTTCCACTTTTATTTATGCAATATAAAGTGACAAAAATCATAGTAAATATACTAATTTTATTTGTGATATTTATATGTTCCTTGTTAATCTATTTTCTGATATTCTCCTTACTGCTATTTGCTATATTTTATGATTATTTATCAGCATGTAAATTTATGCATGAGAAGTGGTTTTTTCCCTTCATCCTCATATAGAGTATCTGTGGGTTGTGGAAGTTATTTATATGCTCAGAGATTTTAAATAAGCCAAGAAACTGAATTAGTTATGTGTTATGAAAAATCATTCAGTTTGTTACGAAGTGAAACTTAAGTAATTTCTGGATTAGTTACCATTTCATCATCTAGTTCCCCCACTGGATTTCTTTATGACTTGACTCTTTTTATATCTCTTATGTCCCTTACATTTTATACCATTTATTTTTTTTAACTGTTAATTTTTCCTATACTTTATTGTGCAGTAACTTCTTTAAAGATGTCTGTATATTTAAAGTCAAGTTTTCCCCTCAAAATTCTTTACCGCTGCTACCCTAGATTTGTGCACAATAAAACTTCACATAGAATAAATGCAATACAATTTGTTCAACAGATTGTATTGCATTTATTCCATGTGCCTTTTTTAGGGTAGACAGATCATTCCTCAAGGAGCTCCTATAAGGAGGCAAATGTGTAAAACATGATTATTATTATTTTTTTTTAATTGGGAAAAACATATTG